GCCGAGGGGCCAACTCCCTTGCCCTCCCCGGCTCCGTGCAGCAAGTGTCGGAGCTGCAGAGCCAAGTGGACAAGCAGGAGCGCGCCATCTCGGAGTACGACGCCAAGGTCGGCCAGCTGCAGGCGCAGGTGAGCCAGAACCAGAACCACCTGCAGAGACGGAAGTGGCTGCAGGAGGAGATGCTGAGCAGGAACGAACTGATCCAGCAGGCGGAGCAGCAGGCGCGCGTGGCCCTGGAGAGCGCCCAGTCCCGGGTAGCCCCGCCCCGCCCCGCCCCGCCCCGCCCCGCCCCGCCCCGCCCCGCCCCGCCCCGCCCCGCCCCGCCCCGCGGGAGGCCGCCGCGCACTGGGTGGGCGGGGCCGTGCGGGGGGAAGGCGGGGCCTCGGCGCGCTGCTCCTCCTAGCCCCGCCCCCGCACAGGGGAGGCGCTCCGGGAGCGCTGGCGGGGAGCGCGTAGGGCTGCTGGGGCTCGCACAGCTTGCGGGGTGGCGGGAGGGGCCCCCGAGGCCGGGCGGACCGCGTCTGGCTTGCGCCGTGAGGGGCACGAGGGTTGGGGTAGCCGGTAGCCGGCCTGGAAGGAGCGCTCCGGACCGGGCTCGCGGGGCAACCCGTCTGTTTGTCGTCCTCGGGGAGCGCGCGTGCGTCCCGCGCGGCTCCGGGCGGCTCCGGGAAGCTTCCGGACCCGCCGGACGGCGCTGGGAAGCCGGTGTTCGTAGCGTCCTCGCTGCTCACACAAGAGCCTGCAGCTGGAGGGGCGAGGAACCCCCCCAGCCCCCTCGAGCTGCGCGGGGGTGCAGCTGGGGTGCGGAGAGCCCCACCCGGTGTCGGAGCCCCCATGCTGCAGGCCAGCAGAGGCACAGAGGTGCAGGGCCCTCGGGCCGGAAGGAAATCAGCCAAGAGCTGACCCGATCCAGAATCCAAAAACCAGAAAAGAGAAAGTCCTGTGCCCCAAGGTTTTCGAAGGGACACCTCCCCCTCCAGTGCCTGCTGTGGCGGGGCGTGATTGCCCCCACTCCCGCAGGGGCCAGCCTCCCGGTGGGTAGATCGGCAGCATCACTCAGGGCCCCCTTGCTCTCCTAAAACTGTCTGGGATCATCCGGTGGTCCCCCCGCTAGAGTGTGGGTGAGGCGTGGTGTCCCCGTCTGGTTCTCCCTGTGAGTTTGGTAGTGCCTGGAATACCGCGTTGAGAAAGTTTGTGGGGGCAGGTCTGGGGTCTGCAGGGAGTGGTGCGGTGCGGTGATCCGTGAGTAATGCCCGAGACAACCTGGACTCTAGGGCACTGTGGCTGGACACCCAGGTGACAGTCACCCCTGCCCAGCAGGAGTCACCTCCCAGTACAGGGGACGAGGCCCCCATTCCCTCGGTAACCCCTACACCCCATAGGGAAGGGCTCAGAACTAGCCTCAATCCACATTGGAAAGAAAGGAAGCCCCCTCCCCACCCAAGGTCCAGGGGCTCCTAACACGCTCTCTGTCACTTGAACGCTGTCCCAGGGCAAAGTGGACCGGCCTTCAGCCCTATGGAGGCAGGGCAGGCTCCCTGGAGGCTGGCTCCCACGTGGCACTTCTGCATTGTCAGGGCTTCTGTTCACGAGGAACTTGGGGGACCCGTCTGAGTGCTTCTGGGGTACAGATTGGAGGAGGTGGGCTGGGACACGGCACTCGCACAAGGATGCTGTCGGCCCCAAGACTAGACAGCCTTAGCTCTGTCCTAGTTAACACCTGGTTACCACCCAGCTCCTGGCTGGTTAATGCGAACACGGTTCTTTCACTGACCCCAGGCACGAACTGCCTCACCCTCCAGAGAGCGGGAGGAAGGACTGGGAGGACAGTGGGAGGACGACGGGAGGGACGGAGGGCCCGGTGTTCCCTTCGTTGCTAACAGTGAGGGGCTCATCCGCCAGCAGGGTGTTCCCCAGGGCCATCACAGAGTCTCCCCCCACCTCCCCGGGTAGGGAGGGCCGTGCCAGTGCCCTTGGGGATGGACGGGATGGCCTGGGGACGCTTTGGAGAACTTGTACTGTTTTTTTCTTTTTTTGTACAGGTTTACTTCTTCAATTAAAAAAAAAAAAAAGTAGTAGAAAGTCTTAAAGACTGAGTGCCCAGCCGCCCTGGGTCTGGGTTTTGATCGGGCACCTTCTAGCTCACAGGCGGACCTGCGGCCTCTCCAAACACTTCCAGTTCCTAAAGCTGTGAAGAGTGAGGACAGATCTACCTTCTGGAAAGCTTCCCTCAGGGGTGGGCGTGACTGGCTCCCCCCCTTGCCTTTGCTCACAGCTTGAGAGGCTGAGAAACAAGATCGTCCAGGCCACCTTCAGCACCTCCGGAGCCAAGTCCTTTGCTACTGAGATCTCCGACAATGACATTCTAGAAGCTTTGCAGGTATCCCAGGCACTGGGCTGCCTCCTGGTCCCCGAGGCTGTCTCCAGGGTGCCCCTTGCTGATCTGTGGCTGGGGACTGAGGGGACCCCCATTCTTGTCCTGGCTGTGTCACCATTCACTGTGTACCCCGGGATCATCCTTGCTCTCTGCTTGGGGAGAGGGGACCAGATCTCCCTCTGGTGAGGCTAGGCTGCTCTCAGCATTCGGATCCGGGGTGCAGTGGGGATGGGGCCAAGCTGCTGAGGTCCTGGAGATTCTCCAGCAGCAGGAGCACCCCCCCCCAGCTTCTGTCCTCTTTGGGGGGTGCTTCTTAGGACCTCAGCAGGACCCGGGCATGGTCCCCCCTCCCTGGCCTTGGTTCAGGCTGTTATCTCACTGACCCCAAGCACAGGCCTCACAGCGGGAGGGCGGTACGGAGAAATAGTGCAGGCTTTGGGGCTGGTAGGAGCAAGCACCCCACCTCTGTGGGCCTCAGCTGACAAGCGGTGGGCTACCTCTTGGGTTCACTGAGCCCTAGAACTGCCCTCAGCACATGGGAGAGAGTCTGTCCGCCTTCTGGGCACGGTGTTGGGGGTGGGGATCTGGGAGAAGAGCCCCTGATTGTCATGTGCTCTGTGCAGGGCCCTATGGATTCTCATTAGGGGCCGCTTCTGTCCCCACGCTCCAAGCCTCCCATGGCACGGCCCTTTGCTTCAGCAGGTGCCTATGACCTTCCAGCACCCACATTTCCCCGAGCCCTGATTTCCTTCCTCTATGTTGTGGGGTGGGGCCCTGTAGGGTAGCAACAGCCTGGTGGGGGGACCTGCAAGAGGACCTGGGGAGAGGCCTCTGCCGCCCGGCTCCTGTTGCTTGGTGTGGAGCGGGGGAAGGAGCGAGGGAAGGGAGGAGTCATCAGGAGCCCCCAGTAGCCAGGAAAGAAGCCCTTTCCTCTGCTGGACACCGAACAGTGATGTGCCAAAGCAGGAGAGGAGAGGGAGGGGGCCGGCCATCTCCCTGTGCGCAGGACAGACTCGATGGACTCTGAGCTCTCTTGGTCTGGGCGGCTTGACATTCTTGGAGGACATAAGTGGAGCTAGCACTGCTTCAGGGGAGAGGGGACTCCCGCCCGCCTGTGGCAGACATCTCTTCCCAACTCCAAATTCTGTGGCTTCATCTCGGGGATGGGCTCAGCCCTGGTGGGGGTGTTTCCAGCCCAGAAGTTAGCAAATGCTACAGACCAGAGCCCTCCCCACTGGAGAACAGAGCCACGGTCCGTGCACACCATTGCTGCGGGCCGGCCGCCCTCGTGGGGGGAGAGGCAGGGTCCCTGCAGCCTCGGCCTCGTCTCTGTCACAGAGGATCATCTCTGAGAGAGCCGACTACTACAGTCAGCTCAAACAGAAAGGCGTCAGAGTGCCCCCCCTGCAGCAGACAGAGGCCCTGTCCTACCTGAACAAGTCCAAGAAGACCACCTCCAAGTAGATGCAGCCCGGGCCCCCAGACGCCGCCTGCCTGCCCAGCGGACGCGGGGACCCAACTCAGGGCCCCCCTGTGTGGCCCGGCCTTTTCGCTTTAGAATTAAACTCTGTCCTTGGCCATGGACTCAGCTCTTCCTTCTCTGGACTCATGGGGGCTTGGGGGACAAACACACTGCCCCCCCCTTCCTGGGGAGACCCCCACGCTGAGCCAGGGCCCACCCCAAGACCCCAGGCTTGGGAGGCCCGAGACCCGGTGCCCATCCGCTCCTTCCCTCCCCCTGCTGCACAAACCCATGAGGTGGGGGCTCCCCTGGCTGGGGCACAGCTTGGACCGGTTTGGAAGACGGTGGCGGCCGTTTTCTACCCCTGTTCCCGTCATTGCTGCCGGAGTGAAAGCTCTAGGAGGCCACGCACCCTGATCTGCGCGTTCGCGGGTTCTGCGTCCCGCACCTCTCAGGTTCACGGCCCCGCGACGCGCTGAACGCAGGCACCCGAGCGCGGCGGCTGGTCTCGTCCCCCACTTCCACCCGCCTGCGTACGCAGCCGGCCCTTACCGCTTCGCGCTCGCCGCGGGCCCAGTGCGGGAGCCGAGGAACAGCGGGGACCCCCGCGCAGCCTCCCCGGGCGCACCCCGGCTGGGCCACCTCACCGGTCCGAGCGGAACCGGGAGCCTCCAGGGCCCGCTTCTGCACCGGAGCCCGGCACCGGCGCGGTCCCCGGTCCCCTCACCCCTGGGACCCCCGAGGGCCCTGCTGCCGGGGCAGCCCCCTCCCCTGCAGACCCCAGCCCACGGGGGGCCCCCTCCTCTGCCGACCCCTCGCCCCCGCGGCACCCTCTCGTGGTCCCCGCTCCGCCGCAGCACCGTCTCTCCCCTGCAGCCCCTACAGCCTTCCCCCCCTCAGTACGCGCGCCCTCCCGCGGCGCCCTCCGAACACCTAGGGGCTGGGGTGGGCGTCCGGGTGCGGGCTTCGCCGCTGCCCCGCCCCCGGCCGCCCCGCCCCCAGGCCCCGCCCCTCCCGCCGGGACACGTCTGCGCCGCGCGGGGGACGGAGGGCGGTGGGACTCGCGTCCGGGGCAGCTTCGTGGTGAGGCGGGCGGAGGAGGTGGGCCTGCCGCGGCCTCCCTGCCGTGCGAGCGGCCGCCCGGGGGTCCCGGAGCTGCGGGGTGGGCGGGGGCGGGGGCTCGTAGCGCTGACCCGGCCGGGCGGCCACGTGCGGGAAATGTCCGCCGGCTCCTGCTGGCCGCGGGGACACCCCGGCGCCCGCTTCCGCTCCCGCTGCTCGCAGGGCCGCTCCCCTTCACCTTTTCTTCATTTTGTTTCTGTTTCTGTTTTTGTTTTTTTTTTTTGAGGCCTCGGGGATCCGCTGCACGTCGGACCTTGACCTGCGGCCTCGGAAGAGGCGGGCGAGATCCACTGGCCAGGCTCTGACCGCCTGACCGCCTTCCTGGGCGGCGGAGTCCGGGCCCCACGCCAGGACTCTCCCTTCGTAAGCTGTGGGCGCCTCAGGTGCTTTGGGGGAGAAGGGGTCTGAGGTATGCGGTGATAGCTCCAGAGGGTCCCCAGCTTGGGTGTCTCCAGGTTCCGGGGGACCCTGCGGGGCTGGGGGCTGGAGAGCCAGGCCCTCAGGATCCCCTCTCTGGGCACCTCCCCAGCTTCTGGCGGCTCCGTCCAGCCGAGGTGGCTTCAGAGCCACCACCTAGTCTCCTGTCAGGCGGGAGTGCTTTCCCTGCCCGCCGCAGGAGCCCAGGCTTGAGCAGGTGGGGTTCACTCTTCTCAGGAAGCCCAAGGGTGGGTGAGGGCTAGTGTTGAGGGCATCTGGGTTGCAGGGTGGCTTCTGTGGCTCCGGCCATCGTGCAAGGGCAGGAGGAAAGTGGCTGCTATTTTTTTGGTCAAAGTGAGAAACCGTGAGCTCTGCTCCACTCCAGCCCTTTGCGGGCCTCCCGGTGACGTGGGAAAGCAAGCGCCAAAGTATTAAGCTTGTCTTAGCCCCCCGCTGTCATTGCTGCTGGGACAGAATGGGTACTCTGCCCACGGGCCGCAGGAGGGGACGTCAGGCAGCCCCAGAGTCGGCCCGGAGCCCCTTTCCCAGACACACCTGGGGAAGCGCAGCCCACACTGTGCAGACACGCGGCCTACCTTGGCCCTGGGAACAGCCACTGATCAGAGTGGCTGCAGCAAAGCAGGTGCCCCGACCTGAGACGACCTGAGAGGCAGGTCTTGTGGCTCGGAGACAAGCTCCCTTCCTTCCTCCCGCTGGCCTGGGATAGGGGAAGGGTGGACGCAGAGGCACGTCGGGAGGGTACGAACTGCCGTCTCTTGAGGTTCTGGGTTAGCCTCTTGCCATTCATGGGCCTGCTGTGCCTTTAAGCCTCTCCGGGGTTCCGTGGAAGGGGGTCCCTAGAAAGGAGACCCCTGCATCTCCAGCTCCTGCACTCCCAAGCAGGCCCAGGGACCCACAGGCTCTGGCTTTTCCTGTAGGCGGTGTGGGGGAGGGGCTGCCACTGGGATGGGCTGGAGGACACAGGACGCAGCTGCCGGCGCTCTGGACGCTCCAGGCCTTCCGGGAAGGGTCTGGCCCGTACCAGCCGCCGCCCCGTCCCTTGCCTTCCCAGCCTCTGGAGAAGCTCTGGGGCCTTATCAGTCAGGAATGGGGAGGGAAGGCAGGCCGTTATGAGGTCAAGGACCCATGGTTTGGGCCAGGGCGGCCTCAGCTATGCCAGAGCCCCCTCTCCTCCTCCTCCGGACTGGGCTGGGTGGGGACAGCCTCTCACATTCCTGAGGGAAGGGTTTGCAGCCTCCTGGGGTTGGAATTCTGCCTTGGCCTCCTCCCATGTGACCCTGAGCAAGTGGCCGGACCACTTGGAGTTCTGGTCCCCTGGGAAGCCAGGTGAGAAGATGGGGGAGGGGCAGCCAGCCCACAAACCCTCCGGCAGACCCTGGCCTTCACCTCACCGCAGCCCCACACAGAGCCCCAGCCACTGCGCTCACAGGGGCCACGGGTTACCGGGAGTCGGGGGCCCGCACGCCTGCCTTGGTCTCCCTGCCCGTGAGTGCTTTGGCCCACCTCCTGCCCCTCTTTCCGTAGCCCTACAGCATGCAGCCCCAGGAGAGCGGCGTCCAGTACAGCAGGTGGGATGACCGCAGCCGCGACGAGGTCCATGTGGCGGCCGGGTCCAGCGCAGAGGCGGCCTGGAGCTGGGAGCGGTGAGGACCCACAGGCCTGCGGGAGGAGCCTCCGCCTCCTGTCCCTCCTGATGGCTTCTGTGCTGCAGGGCGCCCCACCCCGGCCCCGGCAGTCCCGGCCAACCTGGGCTCTGCACCTCCGCGTGCGGCTTCCCTCGCTGGGGTCCCTCCTGTCTCCCGAGTCGGCAGAGTACACAGGCCACCCTCCTTCGGGGTCCCCCTGCTCCAGGGCCCTCTCCCTTCCAGCCTAGCCCCCCAGTCCACTCAGGGACGGGCTCATGTGTGGGTGCTTCTCTCCCTAGGATCTCCCGGAAGCTGTGCTCGGGCAAGCTGGGCATTGCCATGAAGGTGCTGGGCGGAGTGGCCATCTTCTGGGCCATCTTCATCCTCGGCTATCTCACTGGTTACTACGTGCACAAGTGCAAATGAGGCCGTCCAACGCGGACGCTCGGGGCCGGCTGCCTGTGCGCGGGGACGTGGGCTTGGACGGACCCCTGTATACCAGCACCACTTTGTGTACACAGAACCCCATATATACAGTCCTCGCGTACGGAAGACTCTTTTCTCTGGACAGACGTCCCCCCCCCCCCGGCCCGTGGTGTGGTCACTGGCCAGCACGTGGGCACACAGGTGCACATGCCTGGCAGCACGTAGCTAGCCTGGGACACGCGTGGCTGGGAGAGGGGCCCGCTGGAGCGGGGACTGTAGGACACGCCCCCATGGCCCCTGCAGGGAGAGGTCCTCCCTGGGCGGGCTTCTGCCCACCCTCCCAGGGCCGAGAACCCATCCTGGAAGTTGGTCTTGAGGGGGTGGGGGTGGGGAGTGGGAGGGGTGGAGTCTCTGCCCTTGTCTGGGGCCCATCTCCCAGTCTTCCCTGCTGTGAACCGGGGTGTCCCCCCTTGAGGGAGCGGATCCAGTGGGAAGGCACTTCCCCACCGGGCCCTGTGGGAGCCCGTGTGCTGAGGCAGCCATTAAAATTGTTGAATGAAGATGGGTGAGCGCCTCTTCCGCTGGGCCCCAGGTGCCTGCCCGGCGTGAGGCCAGCTAGAGAGCACTCGACAACAGTGGGAAGCTTGTGGGAAGGGCCTGTCCTCCCTCCCACTTGGCTCTGGGCCTTGGAATGTGTCTGCCTGGCTGGGCCTTCTTGTGGGACGTGAGCCCCTGGGGGCAGGCTCAAGGACTGGCCACTGGTGGGACCTGTTCCTGCCTCACCTGACTGGCCTCGGACAAGGCCTCTCGCCTCAGGGCTTCAGTCCTATCCCCCACCTTGTTCCCAGTCGGTGCCTTCTGGGCCCTCTGTTCACCCCCGCCTACTGACTGTAAGCTCACAGCTCAGGTCCCATGAACCTTTGCCAGAAACACCTTAGCAGAGTGATTCCCAGACAACGGAGGGCGGAAGATGCCGGACAGCCGCTGTCCTCTTGGGCCCCGAGACTGAGGTCACGTGGCAGACCAAGCTGGTGGGGGCGGACAGAGACCCCTTAAGACTGGCCTGCCTGTTAGGGATGGCTGCCCATGCCGGTGGGCCCCAGCTCTGCCCACAGGAGGGAGGGGTGCCTGGTGGGCCTGGCCTGGGTTGGGGTCTCCAAGCAGTGATGGGGGCCGGCTGGGGTAGGGAAGCTGGTTAAGGGGCAGAGGGGCTGGTCCAGCCAGCCCTAGTCTCTGGGCCTCGGCACCTGTCTCCAAGACCCGTTTCCCAGCCCTGTTGGGCCACACTCGAGGATGGAGGGGTGCCAGCCGGCTGGCATGTACTCAGCCTTACCCTGGAGCCACCGCTGGGGGGACACTGGGGGGCACGGCTGGGCTGCACAGCCTCCATGGGCTCTAGGATGTTGGCGGTTTCCCCAGAGGTGCAGGGGCTGGGTCTCCCCCAGACTGGGTGCAGCCTCTGCCCAGAGCCTGGCCAGGGCACTGGACAGAAGAGGAGGGCCCCTGGCGGCTGCCTGCCCAGCATTTCTGAGGTCACTCTACCCCTACCCCCCCCCCCCCACTTCCAAAACGCCCAGCAGGCCTCAGGGTCCCCCCACCTCAGCAGCCCCAGGCAGAGCGCAGTGAGTGTGTGGGACAGGTCAGACTAGAGGGGCTGGGGGCAGGGCCCGAGCACAGCAAGGAGGGGGCACAGAGCATGTGGGGGCAGCAAGCACATGTGGTCCACATGCGAGGGGCACTATGGGGAACCAGTCCCAGGACGGTGCCCTCAGCCCCTCCAGCTCAGCCCAGCACTGCCCAGTGATCCCCGCGGGTCCTCCCTGGCTTGGGGGGAGGGCACCGCGTGGGCTACAGCCGATGACAAAAGCCATCAAGACCCGGCCTTCCTGCTCCATGCACCCCGAGGCCCAGCGGGTGTCAGGACAGAGCAGGGTGCAGCGGCGGCTCCCTGGCGCAGGCGCATGTCCCCTGCCGCGGCTGCGCGGGCTGCTGTGCGGAAGGCTGCAGAGGCCCTCAGGCCACAACCAACCTTGTGAGTTGCCTCTGCCAGATGTGGGCCCCCGAGGCCCTGGCCAGGGAGGGGGCAGCCCCCTGCTGAGCGGTCTCCCACATCCAACTCATGAATGAGACCTGCTGGGGACAGGTGCCCCTGTGAGGGCCCAGCAGCCTCCCTGGGCAGAGCCCGCGCAATCGTTACGTGCCTCTTGCTTTTTGCTGGTAAGATCTGGGCCGGGAAGGGGGGGTTCAGGTCCTCTGTTTCCCCCCAGACACTACCCTGAAATACCGCCAAGGAAGGAATTCTGGGGAGGGACGCAGATGTTTTTATTAAAGGACTTTTATTAGCGGGCTGGACCGGCAAAGAGGAAGGATGTCTGGTTTCTGGTGGTAAGCTCAGTGCGTCCGCATTCCTCACACTGGGCTGGGCTGCGTCGGAAAGGCACCAGGCCGGCAGTTCTGCCCCCGTCAGCGAGGTCCCGGCTGACAGCATGTGGCCCGCCCAGCCGCAGACCCACGCCCACGCCAGGCAGCCCACCCACAGCAGTCACCGCCCCGAGAGCCCAGGGCTCGTGAGATGACAAGCCAGAGCCACCGGCACAGAGGTCGGTTAGGTCTGGGGTTAACAAAACAAGGAAAAGCCACCATCTGGCACACCTTCAGCCCAGGGACCAAAGGGAGGGCCTGGAGATGTCGAGAGCCCTGCTGGGTCCTCGAAAGCAGCCTGGCTGAGCTCTGGGAGAACCTCGTGCCTCCGTGAGCTCCCCTGCTTCCCTGTGTCCGGTTTTGATGGCTAAATGCATGGGTTCAGTGAGCCTCCCGCAAACGCTCCCCAAGTGAGCAGAACACACGGACTGTCTCTTGCAGGTCACGGAACGTGACACCGATGGGTCACGAAATACCAAAAGCCAGTGAGTCGGTGTCTTGTAACCCAGCCCGGCCACCAAGCAGGAAGGTCAGTGAAAGCCCCTACCCCGTGGCTGGCCGGGGCCTGGGGTTCCAGGAAGGGGCGTGCACGCACACTTGCACACAGAAACACACACACTCATGCCGTGGGTGTGGGGCCCAAGACATTCAAAACTGGAAAGAACCTGAAACACAAAATGCTGATCCACCGGCCATCTTTGTGGTTGCTGGCTTCCAAGTTCGCCTTTGGCGGACGCCCCCGTCTGTCCTCGAGCTGGCGGACGGCAGAACGGCCCGTCCATGGACGCCGAGTCCACAACAGGGCGCCGCGTGCGAGCCCCGAGCCACGTGTTCTGACGTAGGCTGCTCCCTTCAGGCCGCACGGGGGGCCTGTAGCGCTAACCCTGACACATCCAACCACAAGAGCAAGAAAAAAATGCAGCCATCAATTCTGAGGTCACCTAAAAGATTTTTTTTTCATAAAAAGAGAACAATTTGGGGCCAACTAGTTAGGGATGGGGTGTCTCTCCACTCCTCGAGGCTGCGCCCCCGCACGCTGAGGTTTCCAAAGCTGCCAGATTGCAGAAAAGTCACGGCGCGGCCCGCTGCAACAGGTGGTTTAGGTTCCGGGTTAGAGCTGAATATCCAGACCAATCCGTGTCTTTCTTCCCCTGAATGAAGGTAGCGGCTGAGTCCACATGATTGCAGAATGTTCTGAACAGTTAATTCTGATATTTGACAATTTTGTAAAAAGCCTCAGTAAAACAGTTTGGCGGCGGAAAGGCAAACGATCCAAGTCCGTGGCAATGTGGTCTCACTGAGGCGGGAGGGACTGGCTGGACGGATGGCCGCAGGGGAGGCGTAGGTCTTACAAACCACCAGGGAGAAAAACAAGTGACTTAATGTCTGCACAACGGGCAGAGCCGAGGACCCACGCGGCTGGCTGGCGGGGGCACCAGGGCTCAGCGGATCACGGTCACGTGGGACGCGGCGAGGCCCAGGTCCGTCTTGGAGGGGTACACCACCTTCAGGTGCCCGTCCTCGTCCAGCACCCGGACCTGCTCCACCACCAGCGGGGTGCTCCCGGCCCTTGCGGCACCTGAGCTCGCACTGGGACCTGGGGGCTGCCCGGAGACCGCGTCGGCGTCAGGATCTGAAAGGGACCCATCCTCTTCATTTTCTAGCGCGTACTTGTTGATTTCTGCCATTTTCTGCAAAGGAAAAATACCATTTCAGAGGCAACCGGGGGTGGCGGTTGCGAGGGGTGGCGGGAATACGGGGGGTACGCCGACCGCCCCTCAGGGCCAGAGCGCCAACTGGGCAGGAGGACGGACTCACCAGCACGAGGGCGTCCATGACCTCCTTACAGGTCTGCAGACTCGTAGCACTTGTTACTTCCAAAAATAGATCAGAAGTTGTTTTCTTAATCTTAAATCCGAAGAGTTTCAGAGAAGAATAAAGTTACCAGAGACATCAGCAAGTGCTCAGAGGAAAAACCTATGAAAAACAGTGCCACGCAAACCAGGCCCGTCCGCTTCCCAGAGGAGAGGTGGGGACGCACACGCCGTGACTCTTGGTGCGGCACCATGTGGGACAGGGACACAGGCTCGGGGCCCGCACGGTCCGGGGGTGGACGGGACGTCACCGTGCCGCAGCCGCCGACACAGGGATCGCACAGGCATGGCCTTACCTTCGTCTTCTCGCTGTTGGTTATCGGTGGGAATGAAATCACGTCGCCATCCGCATCCACAAGGCAGGGGTAACTCTCCTTCCCGTCCAGTAAGCGCAGGTATCTGCGGGGCAGGGAACGCAGAGGCGTAACCATGGGAGCACTGGGCCGATGCCAGCTCTTGAGACGGATCCATGGAAGGTCATGCGTCTGAGAGCCGGGGAGGGAGACGTGCTGAAGTCCGTGCTCACGCGGGCCTAGGGCAGTGGGCCACCCACACTCTGCCCCAGCCGTGGGGGATGCGCGCAAGACGCTGTTGGCCGGACGGCTTTCCTGGCACCAGGGTGATGCACTTGCCCTCCCCTGTCCCCATGCATGTGCTTTGGGCAGGAGGACCCCCGTCCCTCCAGGTGAGGGCCCGCGTGCTTAAGAAAGCCTCTTCCCCCCAGAGCAGCGCCTGAGCCCCGGCTCCGCCAGAGCAGAGGCCGTCTGCCACGGCTGCTGACCCACGCGGAATCGCCCAGCACAGCGCACGAAGTCGGGCGAGGTTTCACTAACACCCGTAAGGGCAAGTCGCAAGTTGGGGCAGCCTGGGGGCGAGGCCGGAGTGCCCGCGGGCGGGGGCCGGAGGGAGGCGCACTGACCTGTGCAGGCCCGACAGGTTCTGCCTCTTCTTCTGCTTCCTGTGCTCCTCCGCCTCCAGCTGCAACTGCCGCACCAGGTCCTTGGCCTTGACTTCTTTGCGCCCCAAGGGCACGATCTGTGGGATGGACACCTGGTGGTGAGCTCAGATGCAAACAGGCTCCCGGACAGCCACCGCCACCGCACGCCGCCCGTCCTCCGCTCACGGGCACATCGGCTCGGCATCCCCTCGGCTCCCCCTGCACTCTCTGTGACGGGGGGTGAGCACTCAGGGCCCATGGAGGCCCCTCAGGGACCTCACGGCCACACATGCCGGTCCTCTCTCCAAGCTGGGCTGAACCTTCAACA